TTCTATGTGGCGTTTTTTGCAAGAGAGAAAAAATGTGGTAAATACTAGAGGGATGGGGGTAGTTTTTAACATTCTCGTACTTTTCCGTGATTTTTGTGAAAGTCAAATGTTAAAGCGCTTAACAAAACATTGACACCCAAAATCTCATTCAAATCGGAATAACGGCTCTTAAAATATCTAAAAAAATGTGTTTATTTTTTAAAATTTGACGCCCTCTAGCCGAGAAACTAAGCACTTTTGTACAGAGGTAAATTCTGTCCAATCAACTTATTTTTATTCTAAAAATACGTAGTAGTTCGATGTCCACGGAATATTGGGACCTGAATTTTAATAACTTTATATAAAATATAAAACATAGTTTTTTGTAAAAGTACGACTAAGTACTTTCGGCATTCTATTATTTGTTTTTTCATCTATATTTTGCCTTTCTAAGTTACTAAATATTACAAAAATGCCTTTTTTTCTTTAAATTCCAGTAAAATTAATATTTTTAACGTATGTTTTCAGTGTCCGAATAATTACATTTCATAAAAATTGTATTAAAAGTGATTTTCTTTTGACACTAATGTGTATCAAATATACAAAAATAAATGAGAAGCTTTTACAAGTTAGACAAATCTAACCAATTAGAGATCATAAAAAATTGTTCCGTTCATGAGTATAACTAACTCGACCCTGCTTTATTTATTTACATATCTATTTAAGTCATATTGTCTTTTTTCTGTATTTACTATTACAATATTTGATTGCAAACCAAAAATTAATGTGGCTTATTTAGCTTTCAGCACAATATATTAATATGTGATACACATTTTATACTTAAATATATAATAATTTTTATATAAAGTCGTTTGTAGAAAAAGTTATGAATGGTATTTGAACTAAAATATCTTTATTTGGTTTGAAGGAATGTAAGTTTCGATGCTTTATTCCTAACTGCTCTTCTGGCAAAAGAAATCTTAACTTCTAGTAATTTTTCACAATTAACTTTTTCTAATATATCTATTTTGGTTATATTGTGTTTTCTCTGTATTTACTATTACAATATTTGATTGCCAGCGAAAAATTCTTGTGGCTTATTTAGTTATCTGCACAATATATTTATATGTGATAAGCATTTTATACTTAAATATTTAATTCTAATATAAAGCCATTTAAAATATTATATTTCTTTTATTTTCTAAAAATTGGAAGAATTTAAACTAAAATAAAGTAAAAAATTCAAAAACTATTCAAAAAAATTATTGTACTCTTCTCCTAATATTGAAGAAGAGAGATATCTAAACTAATAACAAAAAATTCTACAAGAAACTTTGTTGCAGTATTTATCAGACCGAAATTGTTCAACTCCAAACTTGCCGAAATAACTCTATCAATACAGCATCTCATTCTCCTTCTACTACTAAACAAAAAGTACGAAACAAACAAGAACAAGTTTCTCCCATGACCAGTTGTGACCCTTGTGTCAACTTGACAAACCTGAACTGGTTGAACATGGTGCCGGATTGACCACTGCCAAGTTTGGACCAGGATTGGCTCTGGTTGGTTGCGGCGTTAGTCTTTTGTTAATACTCTGACCCGACCCATTGGACGACCCTGGATTAGAGCTACCCGATCTGTCTACTGTTATACCGGGTGCTTCGATATTAAGTCTAGGTTTCGAGATTTCGGTGGCCTGTTTCAGGACTTGGTAGATCTGGTCGACTTCTGTGGTTGGGGGTTCTTTGGGATTGAAGAGATTTGAAGCATAAATTATCATAAATATTTTCATGTTTGATGATAGGTACATTATGCAAAATAATGCACGAGACGCGGTGAAAATAATACAGGGCGTTTCAAAAAACATGTGCCATCTCCAGTGGGGAAATTCCTCACGTAAAAATAAGATTTATTTTTTATACCAACATAGGTCCGATTCTGCTTTGTTTCGTAGCTACAGGGGGTTAATTTTGGTAACAAAAAGAAAAAAGTCAGTGGCGTACATGTACTTTTTAGAAAAATATACCACTGGTAACCCATATGAACATCTCTGGTGAATCTGTCGACACTTTTTCAGCATTAAAATATGTAGTAAAAATATCATTCGAATCGCTAAAAACACTTTAGCACTATAAAGCACTATAACATAGGATACAACATTTTAATGAACAGTGCTTTCCATACAATCAATAAAATGAAAAATATACGAAATAATATACATGTACTGATTTCTTTCGAAAATCGAAAACTATGAAACTATGAACCCTTCCCGGACACAAACGGTACATTGTGAGACAGGAAATTGTAGAAAGAAACAAGCCCTATAACATAGGATACAACATTTTAATGAACAGTGCTTTTCATAAAATCAATAAAATGAAAAATATACGAAATAATATACATGTACTGATTTCTTTCGAAAATCGAAAACTATGAAACTATGATCCCTTCCCGGACACAAACGGTACATTGTGAGACAGGAAAATGTAGAGAGAAACAAGCCCTATAACATAGGATACAACATTTTAATGCACTAGAAAATTATAATAAATCGAAAAAATGAAAAACTTTAACCCCCTTAGCTACGAAAGAAAGCAGAATCGGATCTATGTTGATATAAAATGTAAATCTTATTTTGACTCGAGAAATCTTCCCAAGAGAGATGGTATATGTTTTTTGAAACACCCTGTATATTGTGGACTGTATAGCGAAAAAACTAAGAGTCTGTGGGATTGAGACCTTAAGGATGGTATTTTCGTAATAATAATTTATCTTTCATAAAAAATAAAATTGTTAATTGCTCAAGCGACATGATATACATACAAAAAATGCTGTTGGTTTATTCTGATCTAGAAAATAAATATTGCACTTTGTATTTCATTTAAGTTTATCTATGCTGAAAAAAAAATGTAAAAAAATGTAATGATTTTCAAAACCAAGCTTTGTTTGAAAATTGTTTCATCGCGATGGCAATATTTGCAGCTATATTTTGCACTTTTTTTTCCAATAGTATGCAAATAATGCAGACCAAACCAACAGCAACACAGAGGTCCTGTATTTGTTAATAATTCGATCGATAGGGCTGAAATACATACCTAAAATTTACATATAAATAGTTTAGTCATTGGTTTAATTAAACATAGGGAATAGAGTGAGTTAATAGCTTTTAAGGTTTATTGTTTTTATTGTTAATATATTCAAGATGTGACATTCATTATATATTAAGACTGTTTAAATTTGTAGCATATTGAGGTTCAATCAATATCAATATACTGCCTGTTCAGCAATCGTGCAACGTTACGTCATTATTATTTGTAAAATGCCTAGATCATATACAGGTTAGCGCACCTCCTTCGCCTCGGTTGATTATTCGAAAACGGAAAGATATATAAACAAAATATTTTATGGGTATATATGGGAAGGCAATGTGCATAATTTAAAATTATTTTGAAATGTACAGGGTGTGTCAGAACTAAGATCTATACCAAAATTATGTTTTTTTCTTATGGAACACCTAGTATTTTATTTCATTTTTGGATTCTTGGACATAAAATAAGACATTTATTATAAGGGTTTAATATGTTTAAAAGCTTTGGTTTTTGAGATATTTCTTTGAGATATTTCTATGAGTTCTCATAACAGAAATACATTCGGGTTACTAATAAATCAAACCAGACTGCTACTGCTTTTTAAAAGATTGCAAAACTTCCTGGTACGCCTTTATAATAAATTGTCAGAATTCTTAAAAGAACTAGACATAAAAGAATTCTAAAGAAAATTGAAATGGTTTATTTATCTAAGAGATGTAATCACACTCTTCATGGATTCCTCATTTTTATATGTCATTATTTATATTAATTAATACATCAGTAAATATTTATATTTTTAAATCACCTATAGCCGGTTTTAAACATTTTAGCTTACTAAAAACATGGGTTTTCAACCTAGATCATAATATACTTACGTGAATAAGTAAATCACTATGGAAACTGTCGCAAACATATCGACGACTTTCATTTATCTTCTTTTTTTGTTGCACACGCGGTGTTTCTACTGTATCTATCCTTGTCGAGGACCTATCGTCCACGCGCCAAATTTGAACATTAATTTTAAAAATTTAATTTGTAATATCAATCTTTCTTAGGAAATCTAACCAAAAAGTATGCATGTGGTTTAATATAAATAAAAGAACAACTGAATACTTTACTTGCCTATAAAAAGATAATTCATGGATATTAGAACTTTCACACACTAAACACTTTCTAGTCATTTTTACGATTATTTAGAAAGTCAAACGAAAAAAACATTGAAATATAATTGCACAAACTTAAAATTAACTTTTCACTGAACACACTTGCATCCTTGGCTATATAAAATCGGTCGATAAAAGAGTAATTAATACAATTTTTGAAATAAAAAACGGAAAAAACAAGCGTCGTTACACAATGGAAACAAGATTATGACATATGATTATGACAAGATTATGACAATATGATGACAATGAAAAGTTGGTTTCCATAACAATGTATAATTTGTAATCTCTGAACCGTATAAAATTGTGATTATTATGGAATTATTATGAACTTTTAATGCGCATGACGGAAAGTAAGGTCCTCGAAAATGACAAAGCTAATGAACGTTTCATAAGTGCAATAGAGAAGGTTTGAAAATGGCATGTCGTGATGTTGGAGACATATTTTTTAATGCTAAACTTATGGCGTTGATTTATCCATGTAAGTATATATTATGATCTAGGGTTTTCAGTTATCATTTTATTAACAAGATATATATAACATATAAAGCATTATTAAACTTATAATCGGAATGAAGTTATTATTTTACTATATTTATTTAAAATCATACCGTACTTAAACAGAAAATAATATAAAATTTTTATTCGTTATCGATCATCCGATAACTGATTTATAAGCAAAGTAGGTATGCATTTCCGCACATTCGATGACATTGAATGATCTAAACGTATTGAGGTCAATCAACCGGGTGATGCGTCATGAAAATACCTAAATTAACAGCCTCACTTGACCGGTGACTTTGTCTACCATTTGGCTTAACCGATATCCGTCTATTGATGGTCGGCATATAGCCGTCAGGCAAATCTGACAGATATAAATCAATCATAAATAATAAATACTCATGCCCACAGAAAGATTTAAGCTTGATTTTCATGCATTGTCCGACGATACGATATTAATTTTATTAGTTGAATTTAAAAACTTCGATTGGTTAGAAAATTACGAAGTTTTTAAATTTATTGCATTTTCATACCTCCGTTCATCGGATATACGATTTGCTTGCGATTGGTGTCATTTTATATTTCCATTTCCATAACGACTTCGCTGTTTTACTTATAGTCTAAAAGCTAGCAAGGCTTTTAGGCAGAGAATTTTAAGAAAGCTGGTTCTTTAATATATCTTTTGCTATGTTCTCCTGAACAGAGAGCCGACCGTCTGGCTGCTGGTAGACGTTGCGTTCACTACTGCGAATCATATCTGTATTCAATATCTCTTCGCTACTGCGCATCACAAATTCGCCCTGTATTTCAGAAACTAAGGAGGCTATAGGACAAACATAATATATACAGTGGTGGCCAAAAGTATGGAAACTTTTTACTTTTTAAAATATCACAGAGAATATTGCTATGCTTAAACTCTCAGGAATATAAATGAACAGCTTATCAGCAAATAAAAGTATTCCAAAAATTACACAGCGAAAAAAATCTGTTTAGCAGTTTTTGTAGGGGAACAATAGATTTCTTGTGAACAAAAGTATGGAAACAATAAATAAATACATTAAAATTATTTAGTTTAAGCTGATAAACGGTACGATTTGCTTCAGATAAATATAAACATCATGCCCAAGTCTAAATATTTCTCTACGGATTTAAAAAATAAAATAGTTGAATTATACAAGAGCGGTTATAAACATTGAATATGTTTTGAATTATACAAGAGCGGTTATAAACATTGAATAAAATTATTTAGTTTAAGCTGATAAACGGTACGATTTGCTTCAGATAAATATAAACATCATGCCCAAGTCTAAATATTTCTCTACGGATTTAAAAAATAAAATAGTTGAATTACACAAGAGCGGTTATAAATAAATTCAAATAATTTAAACATTTTAAAAGGCACCGTTTCGAAAATAATTCGTAAATTTAATAAAACAGGGAACGTTTCAACAGCTTTTAAGTCAGGAAGACCAAGAAAGTTGTGCAACAGGACAATGAAAGTAATGAAGAGAGAAAAACATCCACAGACATTTCTCGAGAAATGGGTAAAAGTGGAATATCGGTGTCTGCACGCACGGTGAGAAGAAGGTTGGATGACATGGGACTTTTTGGAAGAATTGCGGTGAAGAAACCACTAATATCAAAGAAAAATAGGATGGCCCGCTTTAAATTTGCTCAAGATCATCTCCCCTGGTCTTATCAGAAATGGAATACTGTACTGTTTAGCGACGAAAGCAAGTTTCAACTAATTGGTAGTGACTGGAGTCGTTATGTCCGAAGACCAAAAGGTACACGGTACAGCCATAAATTCCAGATGCCCACAGTAAAACATGGGGGTGGGAGTATAATGGTATGGGGGTGTTTTTCTCGCTCAGGTGTTGGTCCTCTTGTTAAAATTAATGGGATAATGGACCGTTTTTTGTACAAAGACATATTGGAGAATAATATGCTGCCTCATGCTGATGAAGAAATGCCACTCAGATGGTTGTTCCAAGCACAAAATGATCCCAAGCACAAATCTCGGTTTGTTCAAAATTGGTTAAATGAACATGATGTTCCACTAATGGATTGGCCCTCACAGTCTCCGGATCTTAACCCCATAGAAAATGTATGGGACCATTTGGATAGCAAAATTCGAAGCCATTCTATTTCAAATAAAAATGAATTATGGGAAGTGCTAAAAACTGAATGGGCGGCCATTTCCAGTAAAGATTGTACGAGATTGATCGATTCGATGCCACACGAAGATGTAGAGAAGTAATTAATTCAAAGGGATATTCCACTAAATATTAGTAATTTTTATATTATCTTGAATTTTAATAAACATTCTTCTTAAGTTTCCATATTTTTGACCAAGAAAATATTCATAATTTTTTATATATTTTTTGATAGCTGTAATTTTTTATTTAAATGTATTAGGTTTTATAGAAAATTATTCGTAGGTCACGATTATATAAGTCGTTTTATTTCATATTTTAATTTCTCAGCGTAAATGACAAATTAAAAAAGTTTCCATACTTTTGGCCACCACTGTATATGTGTAGCATATTTAGTTTCATAAAAAAGTAACAAAGTAATATGAAAATCGCATCATTGTATCTCTAAACGAAACGTCCCATAAAACACAGGAAAATAGGATACTCTGTACAGCTGTAATGCGCGCGATGTAGTAAACCGCAGTAGTCTACCGGTACCCAGCCGGCCCGCACTTGGTGGGAAAACATAGCAAAAAATATATTAAAGAACAAGCTTTCTTAAAATTCTCATTTTCGCGACAGTGCTAGGCTCTTGTACTATTAAATTATTATTAAGGTTAGATTAAATTTGTGAAAAAAATTGTCAAAACGTCCGTTGACGGGCTGGAGTAAAAAAATTACGGATAAAAAGTGGCCCGAAAACGCTATGACCAATCAGAGCGCCGTCGGGCCATCGCATCAACGGATTACGGACGCACGAAAATCAAGCTTTACTCGAAAATATACAGGGTGTTCCTGCTAATATTTAAGAGAATGATTCTTTGACCTATTCTCAGAAAAAAATCTTTGATGAAAATTTGAGATACAGAGTTGTAAAATATTCTAAAAATATTTTATTTATAATAATTCCGATATTATTATAGAAATCTTTATGCATCTTGGTACACGCCTTGCATGCATCAAAATGCCCTTTTTATTCGCAAAGAATTTTATATCAACTGGTGGCGTCCGTACGGGTACTTGGACTATATTTGGAGAAAAAATGGTACGTTACTGACATCTCTTAAAATAAAGATTATTTTTGAAATCTTCTGTATATTCTAAACAATTTTTATCTCCTATTTTTTTGCCAGACGCATAGTTTTTGCTTAAAACATTTTAATACATGTTTAAAACAATAACATATAATGCTGTTTTAATGTAAATATAGTCTTCAATTTATTTCTGTAATTTGTATATTTGTATTTTCTCAATAGCCTGTACATTTTGTGGAATACAATCCAAAATACACATTTTTATACAAATGCCTTAATAATGTTAACGCCCCTTAAATTTTATTTAAGAAAAAAAAATTGAACCTAACCAACAATTCCGTGTGGTCCGTTTTTGTTTACATGTTTTGTAAAAAGCGTTTGTTACAAATTTACGTCCTAGCATCAACCAGAGGATATTGGTACACAGGTACAGTATAAAGTTTATCATAATGATTTTCTCAGCTTTAAATCAATGTTTTTTGGTGTTTGCGCGATCATGCGACTCTTACCACTCTTCATCTCGTTAGCTCGTGTGTCACTACCTTGAATTTTTATTCCCAGTGCGCGTTTCACTTCAAAAATTAAAGCCATTTTATTTCAATGTCAAATCGCTAAAAGATCTGAATCGTTACTGCATCGACTGGAGGAAAATAGGAAATACAACAATTTTTTACATCAAAAAATGCATCTTGATGCATAGAAGACCATAGAAGACGTGTATGAAGTTTCACAAAAAAACTAACAACAGAGTTATTAGGCAAAAAGTTTAAGTAAGTTCATGTGAGGTTATTTCTTAGATTCACCCCTTGAAATATTAGCATGTCATTAAGAAACACCCTGTATATTGATAAATTATACTCATATGCATTGATTTATTGCAAAAACTTTGATTCGTTGACGTACACACGATACAAGCATAAATTATGTTGTTAAAATGTTTGAAATTCGTTGTTTGGAACAACAGGCTTTTGCTTTTAGGTTGTTTATCTTTCAGATGGTCATTTCATGTATCCTCTTGAGGTCGAGACAGAGAGCATTTAATCTAATTGTTGTTTCTTTGTTTGAAATGTTTTATGAAGCATAATAAACAGATTTCTGAAAAGTACTACAAAAATTATTTGTCAGGATTTTAAAATGGGTTATATTGATTTTCACAGTATTGTAAAGATTTCTGCTTAACGTTTTTTTTTCAGGTATTTTTATAAAAAAAATTAAAAATAAATAATATCAAGACAGTAAAAGTTAATAGACAATTTTTTCATAATAAGTGAATGTATGATAAGCATTTATTTATTTATTCAAAAAAATTCCATAAAACTATTACCATAACATACAAAAAATAATTCAATAAAGAATATTTTATTGTTATTTTCATTAAAACACGCTTCTGCTTTTAGAATATTTATGATTCATAAAATATGAGTACTGTTGTAGTTATGAAAACGTTTACTATAGTTTAATATTTCCTGTTTTAAATATTTTATGACATTTTATAAATAGCGGTACTTTATATATTATTATTTTTGTAGTGATACAGAATTAATTTAAAATATTGTTAAACATATACTTTCTACTAAAAAAATTAATTTAATGCTTTATTGCTTGAAACTTTTAATAAGGTTTACTGATTTATATTATTTAAATTAATATATTTATTTGTATTATGTCTAAAAATCAAAAATATATGTTTAATAATAGAGAAGATTAATTTTTGAAATATGTTCGTGATATTTTCAATATTATTTGAATTTGGTAAATTTATTATTATCAATAAATAACTTGAAATATATCGCTAAATGAAAATGTTTTTAAATTTAAAATAAATTTTTCATAATTTATTTCTATATTTAAATAAAAAGTTTTTTTTTTATAACTATGAACTCAAATGATATAAAAACAAATATAAATATGTTTAGTAATCGCTCCTGAAAGAAAAAATACGTTATAAGCCAAGATATATTAATTTATTTAGATTTCAGTATGATTGCAATCGTTCAGAACAACTTGGATTTGCTTTGAGCGTTCTCCCTCTATATTCCAATGCGATAAAAAAATATATAAATCAAAACTACGACAAATAAGGTACTTACTCTCGTCATCAGCATTGATATCCGGTACTCTAGTCTCAATTTCCGACGTAGACTTTTGCCTACGCAACAACTTGGCCTTCGTCTGACATTTTTGGGCGTCCTTTTGACAGTCCAGGTGAACGTTCATCTTGCATATCCGGCATTTTAGGCCTTGCCGCGTATGCCCTGAAAATTTAATTAGGTGCATGACTGATACGGAATTGTTTAATGAAATAACCTGAATTTTAACATTGTCAATAAGCTTAGTTTGAAATAGGTTATCAGTTATTGCTTAATTTGTCGTTTTTTAAGAATGCTGGGTGTCAATAGAAAATTTATGGGGTATAGTTTCCCCCAAATAATCATGGATAAGTCAAATGTTAATAAAGTAATAAGAACCTCGAAATTAGTGTTTTTAATTATACATTTTCTTTAAGAATTTAAGATTATTCAGAATAAAAATATAAATGATTAATAAGAATTTCATATGCTGCATTGCTTTAGAGTTAATTTCACTGATATCTGAATTGAAAATTGATACCCAAGCAGCATTTGGACGTCGGGACAACGTTGTGTCACGCGACCAAACGACGGGGCGCAACGTCGGCACAACCTCGTACCAACCCTAGTCTGCACTAGTTTGGAGAATAATTTTTGGGTCGAAACGACATTGGATACCGATGACGTTCAATGTATTGTTTCTACTTTGAAAAATACTAATGGGCCTTAAAATTAAAGAAGTTTTAAACAATTTCTTGAATTTTTTTTTAGTAAAATGAGAATAATTTATTCGCAATCGAAAAAATTGTTTCCGCGTGTTGTTTAGGGTCAAATATTTCCAGATAATGTATTCAAAAAGCAGGAATTGCTATTTTAGGAAGGAAACATTTTCTTATTCAACAACATGGCGGCTTTCACTTTGTTGTTTTGGAGATTAAGAAAGGTTCGAGTAGTCGCATACTGGACTAATAAAGTCGCAGTTCAGCCTTAACAGGTAGTATACTAGTCGCAAGATTGCCTAATTTAGTCATCCTAGAGTCTAGCTTGTGCCGCCCTCTATATTCTAAATAAACGAGGGAGTGGATAAAGTGTCGGTAATATGTCGATGTATATTTAAATTTAGTTTTATATGTACCTTTCTTATGTCCCATTTTAATTAAGTTTTTTTTTATAAAAACAAAAACTGCACTGAACTGTCTGACTGAACAGAACAATGAAGTGAAAATTTAAGATTTAATGTTATGGTTCGATACAGTTGCAAAAAGGTAGTGGCTCGACGTCCTACCAACGTAAAAATAAGGAAATCTAAACAACGTTGGAATTAGTAAAACAAACGCCGTTTGCATAACGTTGGAATAGGTCCTGAAAGTGACGTCGGAAAACTCTTTATTGCCCAACATTTTAACTACGTTGTCCGAATCACCAAAAAATCACTTAAGCAAAGAAGGTTACAAGACAACGTTTATTCGACGTCGCAGAAGCTTTTACTTTGTTGTAGTACTAGTTCAACGTCGGCACAACGTTACAACAACGTTTACATTTATTTTAATACCCAAGGTACCGAGCTAACTATTTTTTGTAACTAATCCAACGTTGTGTTTAGTAAACATGTGGTCGCAAGTCGTGAAAATGCTACTTGGGTAGATAATGCTTGTTATTTGCAATATTTGTTATATGACAGAAACGTAATTAATATCAACAAACACCTTGCTGTACGTAATAACATAACACCCAATGCGACACAATATTACATGAATATATGTATGATATTGAGCCAAAAGCATTAACCTATTAGCATAGAAGTAGCTTTGGCGTTTCCGTTCGTTATTCGCCAACCGGATCCGCGGATTATTAATAACGGCTTTTTCAGGAAAAAAACAATGGAAATACAGTGACAGCGTTCATAGACAGATTGGTTTAAATCCGCAATTCTATAAAGCGTATTATTAGAAATTGGAAATGGAGTTTTAATAAAAATTTAAAATAATTTTAAATGTATAATAGAATGTTAATTAAAGCCATCTACAGGGTGAGGTGGTCCGAATTGTATTCCTGAAACTTCAGCAGTTTATTCTGCAGATAAAAATATGTAAAAAAGTTCGTATAAATGTATGTCCTAAAATGCTTAGTTTTGGATATACAAGGTGTAGAACTTTTAAAAAATAATTTCTGAAGTAACGGCGTCAATATTTGGATGGCAATTGGTGCCTGGAGGTTTTTTGACATAAGAAATTTGATTTTAATGTCAACATGACTTCTACTTGTAGATGGCGCCACATATAAAACTACTGAGTAAAAAAATATACATTTACGACATTTTTTACGTAAAAAATATCTCTTAGTAAAAATTGCTACGATTAATGGTTCTCGAGATATTTAGAATCGAAATTATCAATACCTGTCAAATTAGACATAATATATGAAATGAACAAAATTCTTACAGCTTTAGTTTATATTAATAAATAATATTTTCTTGCCTTTAGCTGTGTATTTTTTCTAATTTCGAAAAATTGAAAGTAGAGAAAAAAAAAGTAAAAAGAAAATTGTTTTGCTTGTCGTAGAGGGAGGAATTGTTCTCCACTCCCACAACCGGTTTCTGGGCCTACCTTTCATATAGGTGGGCTGTCCATAGCTGGTTCTCACCGATACGGCAAGCAAAACTTATCTATATATACAGACGATGTCGTAAAGTGTCGGTGAAATATTAGTTACCATCTCCTGTCAAAAGATGGTAAGATCGTTTTCGATACCTGCTCATCGTATATTGATATGAACACACAGCTAAAGGCAAGCAAATATTATTTATTAATATACACCAAAGCTGTAAGCATTTTTGTTCATTTCATATATATATATTGAGTTACCGAAAAAACGCTCTTTACCATCTTTTTGACGGGAGATGCACCTAATATCTCACCGACACTTTACGACATCGTCTGTTGATATAAAAGAAAAAAATTGTTTTGCTTGTCGTAAAGGGGGGAACCAAGCTTCACTCCCACAACCGGTTTCTGGGCCTACCGTTCATCAGGTGGGCTGTCCAGGGACTGGTTCTCACCGATACGGCAATGTTCATTTCATATGTATATTTGAGCGTTGTTTTCATATACCGGGTGTTTAAAAACAAATGCGAAAAACTTCAGGGGGTGATTCCTTGTTCAAAATAAAGGGTAGTTTGCTTTATAAACGTTGGGTCAAAAGTCAACCATTAGGAAGATATCTGATAAAGAATCTAGTGGGCTGCTGTAATTTTTTTAGGAAAAAATCTAGTCGGCCGCTGTTACTTTTTAGAATGTTCCTAATATTATTTTATTTGACATTACTCTACTGCAATGTTTAATTATTATCTAGATGATTATTATTATCGTTATTATAACTAGATTCTTAATCTAAAAATGTTTTTTGTCCTGACATGTAATGCTTTTACATTTTATTTTTTAATTTCAAATCGGTGAGTTTTATCAAAAACACAAGAGATAAAAAAGTTTCTAAACAAACTGAACTATCCAAATTAATTTTTCTGCATGTGTTTGATAAGACTTTTCTTTGTAAATTTCGTTAACAAGAATGATAGGGGTAGTTTATTTCAACCCTTCCACTCATTTTAAAAAAGTGAAAAAATTACCAGAAAGTGTGTTTTCATAACAGTAATGCTTCCATAAAATTTCAAAATATCTCTTTTCGTTTTTCAAGATAAAAAAATAAAAACATTATTTTTCCGCCATCTTTGTACCGCGATATCTTCCTAATGGTTGACTTTTGACCCAACATTTATAAAGCAAACTACCCTTTATTTTGAACAAGGAATCACCCCCTAAAGTTTTTCGCATTTGTTTTGAAACACCCTGTATATATTTGAGCGGGCCGAAAAACGCTCTTTACCATCTTTTGACGGGAGATGCACTAATATCTCACCGACACTTTACGACATCGTCTGTTGATATAGAAGAAGTTTTGCTTGCCGTATCGGTGAGAACCAGCCCCTGGACAGCCCACCTGAGGAAGGGTAGGCCCAGAAACCGGTTTTGGGAGTGGAGCTTGCTTCCCCCTTACGACAAGCAAAACAATTTTCTTTTTACTTTTATTTTTTTCTCTACTTTCGATTTTTCGAAATTAGAAAAAAATACACAGCTAAAGGCAAGAAAATATTATTTATTAATTAGACATAATGTTGACTAAATTAAAAGTTATTAGACTGAAATTATAATTATTAGATGATGATATTTATTCCCTTGAGACTTTTTTACTTATTTTCATCTGCAGAATATTCCACCGAAGTTTCCTATGAATAACAGTTTGTCCCCCTTTCTGTATATATATAACTATCATCATACAGTCCCAGGGTTTTGACAAAAGCCAGTATCTGGGACGGTTTTATAGAGGGTAGTTCTCCATCTCCAATATCAGTCGTACCCAAAATTCTTTGCACGAATGGTTGTCGTCTCGGCGCACTCAGTGATGAGGTGTACTGGTGTTTTCACCATCTTCTGGCTACAGAATCTGCATTCGCCGTTTCTTCTTAGTTTCAATCTACTGAGGTGTTCATTGAGGAGACAGTGTCCTGTTAAAACCCCTGTGACAATCCGAAGATTGTTCTTACTCTAGACCCAGGAAGATCTGTGATTTTTTTTGATCATAAGCCCTCAGAAACTTCTTCTTCGAGTGTCCTAGACCATTGCAAGATTTCCATTGCAGGTTGCGGATTAGCTAGATTATTTGCTTTTTCATTGCCTTCTATCCCTTGGTGAGCAGGCAGTGTAGGAGGACTTTGTTTTTTGCCTAATTTATTCAGCTTATAATTGTTATGTTTGTTTGACCATTCCTACTAATTACCTGAAATGTTCCGGGTTTTAATTCTTTGCTTCAGTTGTAACTTCGAATTTTCAATTAAACAAAATATGTGTATTATACAAAATTAACTTAAAAACCTATACTTAATTTTATTTAACTTTCAGATATTTGCAATATAAGTTTGCAATATTTTGTATTAACTAAATAAATGATCGAATCGAATTAATCAATTATATTGAAATAGTAATCAAAAGAAAGAAGTGACAAATTTATTCCCTTGTAAGAACACCTTCATACCAGGATATCATCCCCATGAACGTGTCTGTTTAAATATAGCTTAATATCCTATTATTTCTTTCAAAGAAAAGCACGAAAGGAAAGTAAAGATAACAGAAAAAAATTCATACGCCCGATAACACAAAATCGTGGATACTTCTCTAAGAGGTTTGTAAGCAAATATATGCTTAAATTCTCGAATCACGTAAAGGGAATTCGAATAATACAGCGAAAATAGAATTGAAGAATAAAAATATCCTGCGGCGCACGATCTCAGGTTACTGTTACGATTTTATCATTCTATATTGTGCCTCAGGTGAAAGAAAATGCAATCCTTTCTTAGTAGTTTTAGATAAACATAAAAATGATACTTGCCTACTTTCAAACAGAGTTTTATATAGTATTAATATTATTTTTTTTATGATCAACAGACTTACATTATTACTTTGTCTATTATTATTACATAAACAAACTTTGATGACATGTAAACTTTCATTCATTCCTCTTATCAATTTTTCGTCTGTAAAAAACCTCATATTTTCTAAAATTTAATTTTAAATTGTTCTTTATGAATTGTGCAAGATAACCCATTTCAAATTATTGCCTTTTTTTAAAGTTGTTTGAAAGAATAAAGAATTACCTCTTAAAACCTGCGAGCATACATCACAGGGTGTTATTTTCTTATAGGTGTTCTCCTGGAAGTTGTGGGCATCTGGATCACCTTTCAACAATTCCCGTGTTGCAGCCGATCCATTTTTCCTAAACAAATATTCATATTTTAATATAAACAAGCTTCATTTAGTATTACAAACTTTATTTCATGCAATAATTTCTTTCTTTTGTATCGCAAGTATTTTTGTCATTGAAATTAATTTTGCATCACAATAAGACACTAATTAAATTCGGTCTTATTTTTAGATAATTTCTCTTTACAAGATTCAATATAGGTGTATTAATACTTTTTTTTATAATTAATTTTCTGATTTTTTTAAATAATCCAATTCAATCATCCAAGAGACATTTTGTAGAGGGTGTCCCACTAAGAATAGCACTTGGCTGTATCTCGGAAAGTATTAGCCGTAGGGGCTGCGGAAAAAAATATTTAGAACTAAAGAGGCTATGAGAAATTGCTGGAAATTATTGTCAAGTTTGTACAACGACCGCTAGGGGGCGCAACTGCAACAAAAAATAATAAAATGGAGTTTTTACACCATTTTGCCTACATAAGGTGTACTATAAGTAATAGCTTCATAATCTTCAGTAAATTTTGAATATTTTTTGTTAGAGCCATTTTCCCTTATCTACCAAAATAAAGTGGTGGGGGAAGGTTAGATCTGTTTTTATTTAAATATTAATAACTCTGGACTGGATGATCGGAATTCATCCTGCGAGGGCTCGTTTAAAAGAGTGTTTCTTACTCTATATTGTGACATATAAACAATAATAATAAGCTTTTGAACGTAGACGCTAGGGGGCGTTGTCTTACAGTTTAACAAACATTGCGCGTTTTTTCAAAAAAATTAAATGCAATAGTATATGTAATTTTAACTGATAGTAAAGAGTAGTAAAAGCTTAAAAAATTAGCGAAAACCGCATCTTGATATCTTCTTTCAAACCGAAGATATTAGCAAAATTATAATAAATATCAAAAAATAAGCCCTTAATTACCTTATTTTTACAATACGGTATCAGTAGCCCTCTTTGATTATGCCCATTCCAACAAAAAAATAAGATAGAAACAGTTAGTTTATTTTAAAATCGACGAAATACCAGAATACCATAATACCAGAGGTATTAATATCTAATAATTAAGATATTAATAACAGTGAAGAAGAAACGATGATTCAGTGAAATCATAGTAGGCTTTGGAAAAAAGTTGCTTTTCGCGTAAGGTACTACTTTTTACGGTACGTAAAAAGTTACGGAGATGTATATTTTTTTACTCAGTAGTTTTATACAGGTACGAACGAAAAGTTATAACTCTTCAAAATAATTAAAACACGTGTAGGTGGCGCCCCCTACAAATAGAAGTCGTTTTAGCATCAAAATCAAACTTCTCATGTCAAAAAACTCCCAGATGCCCATTTTCATCCAAATATTGACGTTACTTCAGAAATTATTTGGAAAAAATCGAAATAAAAATGAAACTTCTACACCCTGTATCTCCGAAACTAAGTATTTTTGGACATACATCGATACGAACTATTTTACTTATTTTTATCTGCACAATATGCTGCCGAAGTTTCCGGAAGACAGTGCGGACCACCCTGTATAGGCTGTTTCGCAAATTTCAATGTAAGGAAGGATAAGTTGACCGTCTGGTACTGAATAAGCAGTGATTAAGCTAAACTAGAAGAGGAGGAATTATGCTCTCATCCTATCAAGAACCTACACAAATTAGTGTAGGGTACAGGCACAGGATAGTGGGTGCAAACATAGAAAGCAGAAAAAGTCCTTCATATTGAGAAAATAACGAATACTCTCTAAAACACGTAAAGTTGGCCGGCTGGTACCACCGTTCATTAAAATATTTTTCTTTACTTAGTTATCATTCTGTATTTTTAATGTTCTTTTAAAACATAGATATATAAGTCCAAACACAATAAGAATAATTTCTATTTTTATGTACTTAATCCTATTTCTTTCTGAACAGTCACGAACTGAAATATTCTGTGGTAATACCAGGATAGATCGCCGTAAAAATCGAAGAAATACTTGCGGTACAAAACTAATATTTGTATTGTGTCATTAAATATATAGGAACATAGTTGTTTTGCGTGCTAGATTTGACCTGGAAGATTACAGAAATCATTTACTAATGTATATTGTTTATTTTATCGATCCAAAATAATCAGAAAGATCGTGATAGATGTTTGTCTAATATAATTAATATTCAGGGCCTTGAAAAATGTATTTAAAAAGTTTTTCTCTTTTCGAAGAGAAATTTACAAAATAAATTCCCGCCACTCTTTTTTCTGTTTGCTTTTTTGCTTCTGATGTTGGGAGAAGATACATTTCCTGAAACGTTAAGGATTTTTATCGGTTAGGCAATTTTTTTTGCTAGTAAAAATCTACTGACTGCTTTTGTTTGGATTCTAAGGAGTGGTATTTAGAAAAAAAAAAACAGTTTGTGACACATATTTAAAGTGAAACTTCTTACTAGCAACTATTAAATTGATGAATTTGACATGTTTGAAAAAGTGACATACAGGGGTCGGCATAAGTCAGGCAACCATTCATCGGGTTATTCATTCTGAAAACGCGCCTATTCGACGAGCAAGTGTTATCTTACATATTATGACACAGACACAACTGTCTGACGCACGAACATGCTTAGCGGCAATCTTTTTCGACAGCGTTGCCAGACTTATGAGCGTTGCCGGACATATGCCGATTTTTCGAGAGCGTTGCCTGACTTATACTGATCCCTGTATAATGCTGTTTTAATATAAATATTATTTTTAATTTATTTCTCTGTAATCTGTACAATTAGAATTAGTCCTAGGAAGACAATAATAAAAAAATATTAGGCAAACATTGGCTAAGAAATCCATATGAAAGACAAAAAACACTAAAGACTTTACAAAACAAATAATTTATAGAAATAAATATGTCCCGAATCATTAAACGAATGTAATATTTTTCTGAAGGTATCTATAATTTAAAGACACAACCAACTAAAATTTATTTCTTAAAGAACTTAGCGAAAAGAAAAACATATTTTTAAATACGTACTCATCTGTTGGTCTGTAGGCTATACTAAGGGCTGGCAAAGGTTAGTCATGGGTTGAGATTTCCGTATGTAAGAAGAGTACAATGCGTTTGTAATGTACTGAACAAAGAGAGGACAGTAAACACGTTGCCAAACGTATGAAATAAACCGAGAAACTGTACACATCGCTAAGAGACGTGGAAGGGCATATAGCAGATTTGTCGCAGTTGACCGGTCGACCCAATCAATACCTCTGTCAGTACTTAAAGTTCTAGGAAAAGGTGTCATGCGTTCAGCTTCACGATTTAATTACGTCTCGTGATACTTAATTTGTTTATTTATTAACGAGTCGTTGTAATTTTTCCCTATAGCTTGATTTTTTTTAATTGCAAGCTAGAAACACTTGCATTTTTGGTAAAAATAAGTAGAATTGAGTGGGTGTTCGATAGTGGTCGCGCTATTAGAACTCTGAATTCAAAAATCGATATCTCGAAATCTATTAGAAATAATAGATTGTAGTTTTTTCAAGAACTTTGTTAATATTTCTGCTGTATTTTCTTTGTAGACAGTATGTGAAAATCTTTATCAATAAAAAAATTACACGATTGCTCAAAATTGCTATGCTCTAAAAAAGTAAATGGATGGATTGTTTACAATTTTTGAATGGAAAAACAACCTTATCGAATTTTTCTTATGTAAACATATTGTAAAATATCCGATCTTGAAAATAAAAAAAGTTTCAATATCTAAAGTGGTTCTTGAGTGGCCTGTTATGTGTTAAAAAGTTGAGTTTATAAATTATCGCGATTACTGACGTTTTCTCGTTATAAAAAAAATGACACCCTAACGATATCCTTATAATTCCATTTCAGATGCTCAGAAACATGTCTAATGATTTTATCTAGTTATCTCTTGAAAAAAAGTCTTTTAAAAATAAGCGGTTTGCGATCGTGATTTTACTTTACTTGATAGGGAAAAGCCGTATCGGCAACGCCGCAACAGCACACCGTCGCGCGTCGCGTCGGTCGGTCGCATTTTTCTCACTTAATAAGATTCCTATGCGATTTACTTCCACACATGTAAATGCCGACCCAAAAGTAACAGTTGCCAGCACGGTATAACTGAGTTTTGTTAAAAATAAAATATGCAAAAAAGAATGGTAAACTCTTTAATGATGATACATTGATATTATTGCTCTATATTAAAAATTTATATACATATTTGAAGTAATACTCTAAAATCAAAGAGTTAATTTTATTTAAAAATAATAATGTTCGCAAAAAGTTCTGAAACAGCTGAAGTTATGACTCTCTCAGTAAGAAATAAAGAACTGAGAATTATGGCTCTCTCAGTAAGAAATAAAGATTATTATTATATATAATAGCTCCCGTATATAGCGTTTAACGCCTTGGGAGTAGCAAGGTACAGCTTGCCATGCTAGAGCCGTTTGGTATACAAGGAAGGTAAAGTGGCACTACGCTTCAACCGCCTATTATTACCTCAGGATTGTAAATCCCAAGTACTCATTTCAGGCTGAGTCGACCTAGGCACCCAAACTATTTTTAATTTAATAAAAATAGTCGGCTGATGAAATGCCGGCTGTAGGATTCGAACCCACTACCTTGAGATTGGTAGACGAGAGCCTGTACCTCTACGCCACCGGGCACCACAAGATTATTATTAATTTGTTTAAAACTGTAGTTTTGTTAGATGAAAAATATATAAAACAAATATAACCTTAACTAGTCCAGTTAATCCTCACATCCTACGTAACATAGAATTTATATAACGTATCAAACAGTGACACGTATCCAATTAAAATTAATGAAAACTCAAAACTTTCCAGGAAAGGACTATTTATTTATTATTTCGAATTTATTTCCGGATAAATACCCGTCAGGGGAGAAATTCCCAATTTTATTTTATATATATAAGTCTGTTTGTGATTTTTTCACTTCGTTAACAATATTTTGATATAGAAAAAAGTTTTAATGACTTTGGCCAACGACAGCAACGTTATAACGTTGCTCTTACGTTATAAACGTTA